CAACCCCTACCCCACCCCCACCACACACACACACAAAAAAAACACATCATGGTTGGCCCCCTAGTATATTTTCGAGGAAACAATGAGTCGCGAAACATTGTTCTTTAATAGAAGCCTCAACTTTTGCTTCAAATTTCTTGAAGTTCAGGCAAATTTCTTTGAACTTCAGCAATTTTTTCCGAAACCGTTCAACTTCAGGAATGTTTTTTGAAGTTCGTGTGGCATGAAATGGTGAAAATATTAACGTAACTACATGCATTCTAATATTTCTTATATCTACCTCACCACTAAGGGAATTACCTTCCACGTTGTTCAACGTTTATTCAGATCATCTAAAGAGGAGACGATGTGCTGTTCGCTAATCTGTTTTCTTCATCCACTAATTCTTTTGAAGTCTCCAACTTTTTATAAGTTCTTTTATATTATGCAGAAGATAATGTATTTCTTAAAAAAGCTGAAAAAGAATTAGCATTTGACTTTCTCTAATCGTTGACTGCAAGACTTGAAGGGGGTTTTAGCAGATGCCGATCTAGGATTTCAATTTGATGGGTTAAATCTTTAGATTATTAATGACGAATCCATTACATTATTAAATTATGGATTCATAATTTAATATTTGTTGAAACTCTTCCGAAAAACTCAATGCATATAATAAGAGCTTTAATTACACAAGGATGTCCTCTAATTGTTAATTGAAAAACCGGTATCCTTATAATTTGGAGTTTTTTACTCTAAAAAAAGAAAGAGAGAGTGCGTATACTAGCAAGAAAATGGAACGAGAAAATGAGGCAGGTACGTGGAATACTGGCCAATGCCTAGGCTGTTTTCCTACAAAGAAGGAAGTAATTGAAATATTTTTGGACTAATTGGGATCCACTTGGCATAACACAAACTCTTCTTGCTTTTCTCTCTGTTCCAAGTATTCGTCTTCCTCCATCTTTCTTCTCAAATTTCTAAATTAGCTGCAAAAACTAATCCAATTTGCTTATATCCAAAATGAATAAATATTCCTTCCACTCTGTAAATAACTCAACCCCTCAACATGTCTCTACATCAACTCAAAGAATATTCTTTCTCTGGTAATTTTCACAATTACTCAATTCCTTCTTCCTCGTTTACATTTTTCCAACAATGATTAATTAGATCATCAAATTTTTCTATCTTCTTGTACATTATTCCTGTAATAATCAGGTCTTCTTTTTCTTTCTTATTAGAGCATAACTTGTAGAAAATAAATCTTGTGTTGTATCTGATAATATTGACACTACGTTCAGATTGTTGTAGCTGAATGAAAGAACATAAGAGAGGTTGATTAAAACAAATAGGAGTATTAAATACTGTATTTTCATATAATAATACGCACAATCCTTACATCAAGTCCAAGATCAGAAATTATTAAGTGTTGATCTGTTAATTAATACTTACCAATTTAAGAGATCTAAAGTTGTTGTAGGCTAAAATATTAGAATCTCTCACGCACATATATAGAAAGAGAAAGCATGTAGTTCTTTGCTTCCATCTCAACATCTTCTCACTTCCTTACCTCAAAGGGGAATAACTAATTCCTCTTCTTCTCTCTTTCTCTCTGATAGTATTTTTACATTTTTCTTTTATTTTCAAGAAAATGAAGAATGAACAACATAACCAACTATTTTTCACTTCAAAACTATTCAATTGTCAAAGGTACCTCCATAATCTCGTTGCTTATTTTATTTTATTCGGGTCTGGTTTAATTATTGGTATATCACTAAGTTTCTATCTCAAAGATCTTCCTAACACTTTACAAAACAAATTATTCTATCCTCAATCACCCCAACAACGACCAACCTATACACCAATTATTACAACATCACCACAAATACCTTTGGATTTAACTGATAATTCGATAATTAATAATGAGGCTAAAAGTGTAGGAAGAATAGGGTTAAGAGATTATCTTAAGCCACCAAAATCATGTAAACATGATATGAAAGATGAAGAGTTGATTTGGAGGGCTTCAATGGTGCCACGTGTACGGGTTTTGCCATTTAAACGAAGGCCAAAGATTGCTTTTATGTTTCTTACAAGAGGAAGTTTGCCATTGGCTCCACTTTGGGAAAGATTTTTCAGAGGATATGAAGGGCTTTATTCCATTTACATTCATTCTCAGCCTTTCTTTAATGGAAATGCTCCCGAAGAAGGACCCATCTTTCATGGCCGAAGAATACCAAGTAAGGTAAAGTTTACTATAATTATTTGCAACTCGTAATTCTTCTATTTTCATTTTAGTTTAACTTTTATGTATTGACGGTGTAAAGTGTTAGGTTAAAGCAACTCTCAGCAACATATAACTGTCGTCTATAGTAAGATTATTGATAAATCAAAAAAAATAAAGAGTTAAAGTGCACTGATGGTATGAAAAATCATTATAGTAAGTTAAACTCTTTTCATGGTATGGTCAGGGGCGAAGCTACGTTGGTCTAAGGTGGTCAACTGAATACCCTTCACTGAAAAATTATACTATGTATAAGGTAAAATATTAGTACTTGTTATTGATTAAAAAATAGACTTTGAACCCTTGCATAGCCTACTTGCAACCCTTATTAAATTTCCTACTTCACCATTGGGTATGGTGAAATGGTAGATGTTCCTTCTTCTTTAACCAGAAGTCTTGATCGTCAAAACTAAAGACCTTTTCACTATGGAGCTAAAAGCCCCGTTGTAAATTTTTTTATCCACTAATCTGAATTAGTCGGGATCAGTACGTAGGTTCTTGATACGGAATATTAAGGACTCAACGACCCATTTCTCTTAACCAGAAGTCTCAACCATTAAGAATAAATCCTTTAAGTATGCAGCTAAAAAATCCATCGTGAGATTTTCTATGTACTAATCCTAATTAGTCGGGTTCAGTAGGTTCTAGACACAGATTGCTAAAGACTCATGCAATGTCCCTTTTCTTTTTCGTTTTTTAAAAGACGTTTTTGTTTTCATCACATAGAGATCAACAAAGAAGGCATGCAATGATTATAAATGTCAAGATGTTCATTTTTTAATTATTTACGCACAAACCTAGTATAGTGGGAAATAAATAAAAGGACTATTGAGGGCGAAAAAAACAAAAATATAAAATATCAACCGGCACCGTACTATATGGTCCGGGTTTTACTAGGCAGCACGGAAACAGAGACGTGGTCTAAGATTGAGCTGAAATCGTTTCCAAATCTAGACCAGATTCATTATTAATAAAACTCCAACTATAGAATTTTATTATTTATAGGTTAAAGACAACTATAGTAATGGAAGAATTGACTTTTCTTTTAGCTTCGATTCCTTTAATTTATCGTCTGAATATAAAAAATTAAACGCGTCTTTTAGCATTAATAACCGATAATCATGCTATTCTATAGAATCCTGTTGGCTAGCTAGAATGTAAGATCGGACAATTGCATTAGGAAAATGGAAAGTCTTTTAGGGCAAGGACTACTAGTTATTACTCCCTCCGGTCCAAAATAAGTGATTTTTTGGATGTTTTCACACAAATTAAGAAATTCACCTTTTAGCATTAATTAGCAATGAAATTGATCATATTAACCTTTACTATGTCACATAAACACTCCTAACACATATTCCAACACCATTTACTTCAAGGACAATGTAGGAAAAAAATAATTAATTCATTCTTGAAATCTGGAAAAATCACTTATTTTGGACCACAAGAAAAAGGCCAAAAAATCACTTATTTTGGACCGGAGGGAGTATTATTAAATTTTCAGAGAAATAGAAAAATTCTAGTTTAGATTCTAAGAATAAGAGTTTGCTTTAATTACAACTAATTATCACTATATATATTCACCCTCTTCCTTTTTTGTTTTGTTTAAAGTGTAATTGCAATATTGCTCTTTAATTTGGATCAAGTCTAAAAGAGATATAAAAAGAACGTGTGATTTCCTCCCTTTTTGTTGGAGGAACTAAAGCATCAATGCTTGCCTTTCTAAACAAGGTTTTGCTAATGTACTTTTTGTTGTATATTTCTTTTATTATTCTACTCTTTAATTTTGCCAACTATAGAAAATATCTTTTTCTTTCTACTGTGTTGTCACACAGTCACACTACCAAATGCAAATTCCTTTCTTCTGTGCCTTATAATCTCTCTCATAGTCACGTAACGACGAAAAGAGCATGTTGAGGTCCAGAAAAATTTCTTGGCCAAAATACAAAATTGGCTGATCGGATGAAATTATTACTATTCGTTAGCTGAAAAATATATAAAATACATCCATTTTTTGTATATAATATATACAAAATATATATATTTTGTCGACTATTATTTCCGGGATCGAAAAAAATATACTTTTCTCAAATATAATATTGCAGAAAAAACATAAATTGGCAATATTTAAGAAAATATTGCAGAATCCTAGCAGCAAATAGTAATTAACAGAACTGGCAACTAATTTATTACATTTCTTAAAACTTACCTTAAATAACTCCCACTTTCATCTCAATCAATCCCTTGAAAAATGCATGGAAATGTCTTGAAGCCTATTTCCCACGCCTCAAAATTAGGGATTCATGCTAATTGATGCTTATTTAATTTGTTTTAAAGGAAAAGTGGACCAATGGGACATGTATATTTGGTATAATATAGGAATAAATAATGCATATATGACATATTATGTTTTTATACATGTAGATATTATACAATATTTATACCATTCATATAAATGATACAATATATATTTGGTATAATATATGTATAAATAATGTACATGATATATTTTATTTATATATATACATACATATTATACCATATATATAAATACTTAGAGTAATAGAAATATTTAGAGAATATTTGAATGTTAAAATAAGAGACATAAATTCATAATAGAAAAGGAGAGATAGATTTGAATGCTAAATCTAAGGCACTAAAATAGAAAGGAGGAGGAGAGAGAATGTTAAAAAGTAGATAAGGATAAAACGGATCCCATGATTTGTGTTACTCATTAATTGCACACATTAGTTTTACATATGCTAGTATTGTAAAAAAATCTGCTATATATGAAATAAACAAAGAATGGTATCATTTTCTTAAATACTAGTTAAAAAATGCTCGATCGAGTATTTTTCTCATTTTTTTTTTGGTTTGTGGTTATATTAGCCTCGGCCCAACCAGTCAACCATTTGTAAGGATAACGGTCTGGTCCTTTAGGTTAGGAAAGGTTGAGTCCATTTGAATCTAACTTTGTCCGTTTACAGACCATTAATCCAAGGTTTTCGGGCCCTATCCAAAATGGGCCTCTCTCATTCAGTTATGACATTTTGAAGATACAATAAAATTCATTTTGCAAACTTGTGTGAATCTTTAGTAACTTCTTAATTATATTTCTTATTATATAATAGATTAGACACTTAAAATTTTGACATGGTTTGTTCCACTATATATGCAGAGTGTAGAGTGGGGAAAATTCAACATGGTGGAAGCAGAACGTCGATTACTAGCCAATGCATTACTAGACTTATCAAACGAGCGTTTTGTACTTCTTTCAGAGTCATGCATTCCTTTATACAATTTCACCACCATCTACAACTACATCATGAACTCCACAAAAACCTTCACCGAATCTTATGATTTGCCGAGTCCTGTCGGCCGTGGCCGTTATAAAAAGAAAATGCGACCCTGGATCACCCTCGACCAATGGCGAAAAGGGTCCCAGTGGTTCGAAGTCGACCGCGAAATCGCGATCGACGTAATATCCGATCAGAAATATTTCCAATTATTCAAGAGATATTGTAAGCCGGCATGTTATTCCGACGAGCATTATTTGCCAACTTTTGTGACTATGAGATATTGGTGGAAAAATGGGAATAGGACGTTGACTTGGGTTGACTGGGCCAAAGGTGGGCCCCATCCGACAAGGTTTATTAGGACAGAGGTGACAGCAGATTTGCTGAGTAGGATGAGGAATGGGACCAAGTGTGAGTATAATGGGGAGCCCACTGACACGTGTTACTTGTTTGCTAGGAAGTTTTTGCCTAGTACTTTAGATAGGCTTTTGAGGTTTGCTCCTAAAATCATGAAATTTGGTTGATTTGATATTTCTAATCTTGTATATTACTAAGTTCTTTTATGTTTTTTTAAATTTTGTAAATCATATATAGTTCCTTCCTTGGGACTGACAATGTCATATTGATTTCTATTCTTTGTTTGTGTTACAACTGATCAAAAGGTTATTGTTGTTAACGGGGCCAAGTTACTGAAGCTAGAAATAGAAAATTTTCATGTTGTGACAAGTAAACTGGATCTATTTTGTACGGGGTGTTGTTGATACTCAATTTTGGCCTCATATTTTTAAAATGTATATATACTTTTAAAATAGCATATTGCATAATTATTTAATTTACAAACCTATACAAGCATTTTCTATAATTTTCCATAATTTTTAAAGCTTTTTAATTTTCTTATATTTTAATTATATACAAATATCTAGTAATTACCTTTAAATTATTTTGTGATGACTTAGTTACCTAAAATAATTATATTGCACCTATTATATATTTTATTTCATTCCATATAATTACATTAGCATTTTTTAAGCTATTTATCTAATTTTAAAATAATGGCCTATATTCTACAAATAATTGCGTTTATTATATTATTTATGCTAAAGTAACAATTTATATTTTTATAATATTGAGTTATTATTTTTAAAATAGTTTTACAGCATAAATATTATTTTTACCATTTATTAGAAGTTTTAATAATTTATTTTTAATTAATTTTCAAGGGTTTCAAGAGCTGGCCCAAAACAGGCCAAATTTCGGTCCAAATTAATGGCCCAAACACCCAAACCCTTGGCACAATTCCTAGAGCCTAAACCAAATAACCCACTAACCCAACCCGGTCGCTACCCATACCCGTCCATTAACCCGCCCAATCTTTTAAAATCTTGGCCGTCGATCTCTAAGATCAACGGCCTACGATCAATCCCCCATTTTTATTAGCTAACCCCCAGAAATCCTAACCCATTTCCCTTTACCCGCCGCATCAGAATCCTCTCTACTCTCATCTTCTTTAACCCTATCCGCCTCACTCAAACCTTCTCCGAATCCGTCTCAATCATGGATTCCTTCCATGATTTTCTTACCTTTTATGTGATTCCTCAGTATGCTTTGCAAGACTAAGGTGTTACATAGTATTTGCCCCAATTTTGGCAAGTACCAGTCCCCAAATCGGATTCCTCCGCCTTCAACTTTTGGGATTTAGATGATATTTCGTCTATGTGCACTCATTATCAGGCTATATGGTCCGATTCAGTAAGATCTTCGACCATCTGTGCTTTCCTTTTTGAACTAGGGTTTGAGATTTTTCATTATTCTTTACTGATTCTTGATTGATACTCTTCATTTTCCCGTGTTTGGCTAATATTTTTCTTATTTCTATTTAACCCACCGTGCCCCCCCCCCCGTCCCCCCGTATTCCCTTATTTTAAGTGTTATTTGCATGATTATTTCTTCCTTATTCTCTATTAATTTACCGAACTTCCTTATTCTATGTGCTATTTTCCCTAAAATTGATTCTGGCATATTTTTCCTTGTTCCGTGTTTAATTTTACCGTGTTTCCTTATTTTTATGTGTGAAATGTGCTACTATATATAGTCTATTTTTGGTTCGGAGTGCTCGAAGATAGTATTATGGTAAACTTTCTATTCTCGATTGTTAGATTATGTTATTTCGATATAGTCTATTTTTGGTTCTTGATGTATGCAGTTTGGATAAAAATTTATATTTTATTGTGTTGTAAGGATAACTATATTTGTGGACCATAAAGCGATATTTTCTTTTAATCACCTACAATAGAGATTAATTGGATAAATGCATTTAGAATTTTAATTCGAGAATCTTAACTCCAGATGTCGAAGGGTGAATTGGCGCTGCAATTCTAGCACCATGCTTTTAGAAGGTTTGAAATGCAATTGATCAATGGAGGAAGCCAGTGACTACTTTTGCTTACAATTGGAATGACTCGTAGTCCCCCTATTATCGGTGTATAACTTTTGGCTTGGGTTTTCAATCCTCGAAATTTTATTCTAACTGTATTTTGAATTTAACAGTGTAAATCCTTTTTACACTTTAGTGTAATATGGATATTGTATATTTCATGGATTAAAAGCTTATTACTTGTGCTTGGCTTTTGAATAACCTAATATTATAAGAAAAGTCTCACCGTTTGTGTATTACAGTTAGACTCAAATATAACAATATTATTTTCCTGTAAGTGCAGCAAGTTAATATATTGCAGGTTACCAAATTAATTTAGTTTAGTCAGATGTAATTAGTGTTACCTTACATATTGTGTAAGTATTTTTCTAATATTAAAGTTAAACGCACTCTAATTTGTATTTGTGACGAGAAATATCTTACAGGAAACACAGAAGATGAATTAACCGCTATATGTATGTGGTGGATATGAGAATAGAATGTAGAAATTGTTGGATTTTAAAAAGGTAAATTATTTAAAGATAATTATTTGTTGATATAATTGTAATATTTAGAACTTTTATTAATATTGGGAACTTTGAATTCAATTAATATTTTGTATTTGAAAACTTTTATGAGTGACTTTTAACCACGAGCAGATTTTCGCATGAATTAAAAAGCAAAACCAAAACTTTATGGGATTTTTACCTTCCTATACCATATATGAAACCTTATTACCCTCAATGTTTAAGGTTTGTGTTAATTACATTTCAGCATACCAAATTACCATTTATATACCATAATTCAAATTAGGGATATAATTAAGGGTGCATTTATATTAGGCGCTAATTTAGGACCGTATCTTCCCACATTTATCTTTACCCGTCCCCCCCCCCCCCCCCCCTCGGAGATGGACAGTAGCATCAGTAATCTTCAGATTAGTTCTCATTTACTTCCCCAAAAATCTTAACTTAGCGACCGTATCTTCAAATTAGTTCTTATTTACCAATTCTCTATTTACACGTACAAAACATCAATGTATCGTTATTTTCATTGACCTCTTTTTTTTTGTTTTTTGTTTTGGGCAGTGGCTGAAGGTTACTGGTTAACACAGTCTAATGAAACTCGAAGAAGAAGAAGAAGAAGACATATTTCCAGAAATTGTAGATAAATTGTAGATAAATTATAGAAAAATTAGAAAAATTGTAGATAAATTGTAGACTGTTTTTTGCAGAAGATTTTGTAGAAGCTTTAGTCGTTTTGGATTTGTGAAAACAGAAAACAATGCATCTACAATCAGAATACAAATAATCTACAATTTATCTACAAGATATCTACAAAATGAATACATTGAATTTTAATATCCCAATTCCCATTTCAATTGTAGCATTATTGGCATTTTCGACATAATTGTAGAAGATTTGTAGAAGATTTAGTCTTCCCAATCTACAATTTATCTACAATTTATCTACAATTCTACAATTTATCTACAATTTCTGGAAATATGTCTTCTTCTTCTTCTTCTTCTTCTTCTTCTTCTTCTTCTTCTTCTTCTTCTTCGAGTTTCAATCTGAAATTCAGTCAAAACCAAGTCTAATCTTCACCAAAACCCCTCAAAATTGAGATATAAACTCCAAAACATATTCCGAATTATTTTCAACAACACCCAATCCAAACAAATAATGATTTTTGAGAACCCAAATTTGAATTCAAAGCTTTCAAGCTTTTTAATGGCTATCAATGGTGGAAAATATATGGAAGAACAGATGAAGATGAAAAACAGAAATCTCCTTTCCGTTTCAATATTCTTCTCCTAAATCTGTTCAGAATATTCACGCCAAATCTGTTCAGAATATTCTTCTCCTAAAATTTAGCTCGCATAAATAGGAAGATACAACTGCTATTAATTAGCTTTTAATGATTGGTACAAAAACTGTAGAAATAATATGGACTGGGCGGGTAATTTAGAAATTATGCACATTTTTGATAATAAGGTTTCATATATGGTATAGATAAGAAAAAATCCCAAACTTGATTAGGTTTAAGAGTCCTTCCCCATAACAAAGCCTGCGTCAAGAGTAATATATAAACATATCTTATCCACAAAAGAAACTTTTCGCTAAAAAGGCCTTAAATGAAAAGGGGGAAAAAGCCTCAATTGGAAAAGGAATGGTTTGCATTTTACCATAAATCTACAACACCAGAAAAAAAATCACGTCCTACCGTATTCTTGAGACATTTTATTGTTATTATTATTGGAAAAGGAATGGTTTGATCCATTAGTGTTATATGTTCGCATATATTAGTTTCATATAGATTACGTCCATAAAATTTCAGTAGATTATACACTTATACTTATTTAGTGGCACTATTCAAATACTCACGTTTTAGTCTAAGAGTCTTTAAAGCAGAAATTACATGAAGTTAAAATCCTTTTTCAGTACAAATTTGTATCGTTTTATATTTTGAATCCATCTGTTATATTTGCTACCTAAATTTCAGCTCTATAAAAATAGCTCAAAACATTGGCGTACAAGTGACTTCAAAAGATTTGATAAAGGATATGAATCATATTTGTTTGATGAAAACATCAACGGATATTAATCATATTTGTTTGATGAAAACATCAATGGATATTAATCATATTTCTTTTCAATCTAATCGCTTTAATTCTATAAGAAACACATGATCAGGCACAGTGTTAACCTAATATCTCTAATTGTAATGTACAATTATCCTCTTCATATATAAGAAATAAATAGGCTAAGCAACGCATTAGTGATATAAGAAATATCAACAGACTAAATAAAGAAAATAAATTGAATGAATTATATCATGATGATTTTCTTATAAATCTTTCGGTGAAGTTATGTTGTAAGGAGATACTTATATATATATATATATATATATATATATATATATATATATATATATATATATATATCCACGTAAAGACATCCTCATACTATCAATTTAGATTTAAGTTATGTTGGTTAATTGTTTTATCATTCTTTTTTTTTTTTTTTTGTAATTATAAGGTTTTACGTGCGAGGCACGTACATAGAAGCTGGTATTATTATAAAAGCATGAATAATTTATGCTAAATGTTGAACGACTAGAATATCCCTGTAATATTGATAGACTTTTATGCCCTTAAATACCTAAAGTATTTTTTTGACAAAGCAAGTTAAAGATGGATGTAATTGTAATATTCAAATTACAGTACTATATTAATTATACATTACTTATTTCTAGCGTCCAAGTAGTATAAAACTTGGAATGCCAACAAATACGTCACCTATTACTTATTTCACGGACTTATTGCAAAACAAGTCCGTGAAAATATTTTAATTTGGACAATGGTGTTTGGAGTTTTACCGTCTCTTTTTCTTCTATATATGATCTTTTTTCTTTTTCTTTTTTTACTTTGTGACTTTGTTAAAGAGATTTGGTATTTTAAGATTTTCTTTTGTTAAGATAATGTATAATATTGTATAGAAGAAAATTCAAACTTTAATTTTGACCCTTGTATACTCTTCAAATTGCTTATATCAAGTTACTTTTTTATCATGTTACATAAATTTACCATAACTAAGTATAAATTTGAGAATACATATAAACCGGATGTGCCCCTTATGAAATTTAAATATATTCCGTAATATTTGGACACCTATTTGTATGCGTATTTACGCTCTTGTATATGGTTGTTGGATATATGGACTTAATAGAGTTTATAGAGGTAATCTGGTTTGGAATTTTTGATGTTGAATCACGACAAAACATTAATTACTCTAAAGTCCAAGTTGCAATCTAATATACAAAGTCAAAAACTGCTATCACTATAAAACATTGATTATAGTCCAAGTAAAGCTCTACGATAACTATAGAGACCTATCATATTTATAAGTCTTTCTGTGACTAGCATTTTTTTTTTTGTATTGATCTTCTTTCCTTGAAAAATACTACTCCTATAAAAGGATTGGCACAAGAGTATTTTTATCCTTTATCTATACTATTGAATATAGAATATCTCTTATTTTTTGTTAAAGTGGACAGCTTTGGTCTACCCCAAATAAAACGAACGGGGAAAAAAATTGTGGCAAAACGTGTTCCATTACAATTTAGGTATCATACTACTAAACATTTTTCCTTTTCATTTAATATATTTTAGCTTTATATATCTTTATCGTTACTAAACTTTTCAGCTTAAGGAGTTATAATCTAGAAATTGAATTGATTAGGATTGGAGTTGAAGAATTTCTAGGGGGGTAAAAAATATTTTATTTTTATTTTTTATGCGATTAAGAATTTTTAACATTTAGATATAAAATTTTATACTAATTAACATAGGATAACGTGCAGTACAACAAAAAAGTAATGTCATGAAAGGCAGAAATGACCAAATAACTTTTTATTCTTTGTTTTCTCTGTTGTTAATATATCTTAAAGAAATATGACTTCAGTATACTCGCCATTACATGGCGTGACCATAATTATTAAATGTTGTTGCATTCTTTAGGTAATTTTACAACTAACATAATTAATATTTAGTTCCATTTGATCCTTAGATTGTGTCAAAACTTTTGTTAATGAGGTAATTAGTTTGGATTATATATTATATTCTTTTTCCCTTTTTTGTTTTCTTAAGGAACTAATTATCGAACTTCATACATATTCATGGACCGAAAAACTTCATACATATTTAGTAACATGTTATTTTAGAATATTTATGCAATTTAAAATTTATTCTTTTGGAACGCGTTTTGCAATATTTGACACAAGATACCTCGTGCATCGCACGAACATAGAGACTAGTACTATATTAAAAGCACGAAGCCCCTTAGCGAAATGTCGTTCGCCTTTTTTACCCTTTAAAAATATAGTTTCACATTAGACAAAATTGTAATTTTCTTATTTTCCTAATATTTGGGATTCTAAAATCTTACAATTTTGGTTATTAAATATTTCCTTATTTGAACTATGTAGGAAGATCTAATATTTAGGACTTTAAAAAAAGTTTAAAAGGCTAGAAAAGGCTTTGAATTGGGTCTTAAAATTATTCTAAAATTTAATACAATTAATATTTAGGGCGTTGAGTTAAAGTATGAATTTACCACTTATACTTTTTCTTTTGAAATTTTCGACAAGTTTGATTAATTAAAAAAGAACTTTATTTCCTTACCTAGGAACGTTACTCATCATATTCTAGCACAAATATATGAGTAGTTCTTCATTGCTGAGTATTGAGTTTTTATTG